TTGATGCACATACTGCCACAAATTTGTTTAATGTAATGATATTATCCTTTCTTCGCATACTATATTTATGTTTTATGTATCATTCTTTACTCAAAATGGCTTTGAAACTTGGCAGGAATACATAATAGATGGTCTTAAAGAGAAAACTGTTTTACTCGTTACTCATCAAGTTGACTTTCTACCAGCTTTCGATTCTGTTTTGGTAATTCATAAATCTGAAGGCAAAATTCCATATCCTTCCTATTCACCTTGCTTCTACTTATAGGCTGATTTTTTTCCTTGCTTTCATAGTTGATGTCAAATGGGGAAATCCTAGAAGCTGCTCCTTATCATCATTTGTTGACCTCAAGCCAGGAATTCCAAGATCTTGTTAATGCTCACAAGAAAACTGCTGGTTCTGACAAGCCTGTGAATGTTACTTTTTCGCAGAAACATTCAACTTCTGCTAGAGAGATTACACAAGCTTTCATGGAGCAGTCAAAAGCATCAACTGGGAATCAATTAATAAAGCAAGAAGAGAGAGAGATAGGAGACATAGGGTTGAAGCCGTACTTGCAATATTTGAATCAGATGAGAGGCTATATATACTTCTTCGTTGCTTCTCTTTGTCACCTTCTATTTGTCATTTGCCAGATATTGCAGAACTCATGGATGGCTGCTAATGTTGACAATTCCCAAGTCAGCACATTGCGGTTGATTGTAGTTTACTTCTTGATTGGGGCAATGTCTACAATTTTCTTGTTGATCAGAACTCTTCTTGTAGTTGCCTTGGGTATTCAATCATCCACAAATTTATTTTTACAGTTAACACAATCCCTTTTTCGTGCACCAATGTCTTTTTATGACTCTACACCCTTGGGAAGGATACTTAGTAGGGTAAGTATATTAAACAATTTCTTTCTTTGCTATGAATTGGAGTGGAAGTAACAATATTTTGATTGTCATTTTCTTGTTTAGGTCTCATCAGATCTAAGCATCATGGACCTTGATGTTCCATTTATCATTGCTTAT